AGTTAATCTTTTTAATAAAAACCTCGATTCTATGTGATCTATAAAAATGAAGCTACTATGAACGATTTTCTTCATTCAGATTCAAAATAAAGCAAAACAATTTCAAAGCAAGGTCACATCTTTTATGACTTTTTTTTTAGCAAGTAAGTTCTTCTTTTTGTAATTTCTTGTTGTTTTTTATGTTTCTTGCTTTTAAAAAAAATTGAATTTTTCTTATTTGTTGCCCCCTGCATGAAATATTTTTTAAAAAATTAAAATATGAGAAAAGAAATTTTTCATACATGAGATGAGGCTTTTTGATTGAAAGAGAATTGCAAACAAACAAATTGTTTGATTTTAGATGTATAGTAGGGCTTTAGATCAAGAATTATGCATAAATCTTAATTGTGTTGAGCTGTTTAAATTTTTTTTTATATATTTGTCTCAAGGATATTCTAAATCCAAAAAGTAGTATCTATCAAATAAAAGCTATTAACAAAAACATTTGTATGTATATCTTTTGATGGGAGCCTTTTAATTCATCAAAGAAGAGAAAGGTAAAGAAAATTTAGCTATGTAAACTAGAGTGAAAAAGAAAAATAAAAAGTTAGCCTACAAACAATAGAGTTTCAGAGGGCAAACATTAAATTTTCAAAACATTAGAGCTTTGATTTTTTTTTAATTGATGCTTTTCTTAATATTGAAGCTTTTAATATTCTGTAAGCTTTTTTTATTTTGAGAGCTCGTAGCTTGTTTAATTAAAGCTCACCAAAATGTAAATGGGATTCTTATAATAAGGAAAGGATGTGGTACAAACAAGTAAAAGTATGTGCCAGAGGTGGCGAAGAGGAAGATTGGAGCAATTCCTAATGTTGTCATCGATAATGTCAAAGCGACTCCAAATATTGAGATTGTTCATAATGTTGGAGTTGTTACTGATGATGCTAGAGTTACTCTGATTAATTCTCGTGCTTCTTCCTCCTTAATGCCAAAACACAAAGATGCCAATAGTGTTTTTGACATTCAAGTAGCATGTACTAAACAGAGTGGTAGGAAAGTCAACTTCCATGTTTTTCAAATTTTATCAAAACACATGGAATACTTTGAGCATATTTTCAATATAAAGAGAAAATTTTGGAGTACCACCTTTTTAAAGAATGTAGGTGTTATTTGTTTAAAGATGAAGATGTTGGGTAAAGCTTTAATGATTTCCCATGCTCCATTAATGAATACCTCATCAGAAAAATTACAACTAATATTGCAGGATTTCAATGACACTTGTAACGTTGGATTCAAACTTGAATGCCTCGATGATTGTTAATCTAAAGCCAAAGCTTTTCTTAACAAGTCTTCCTTGGAAAAAGAGTTAGAAGATATTGCAACAAAGATAGCTTCACTAAGAAGGAGTGAAGTTGAAGTGCAAGAAAAATTAGATGTCATTGTCAATATTAAGAATAATAACTCTTCTCTATGGAGTATGTAGTTGGCCAAGCTTTTGCTTCTCATTTACTTTTTTGAAAACTCGCTCAAGCTAGTACTTTGCTATTGATATATCGTATCTCTTTTTCTTTTGCAATAATAATAATATCATACGTATGTTGTGTACTTATTCACATTTCACATTATTGTACGTTGCCAAAACATAACTCTTAGCTTTACATCAAAGAGATTAACTCTAACCTAATGTGAAGGAGATTAATTCAGCCCTTAAAATAAGTAAGCGTAAGAGTTGCAACCAATTTGTGAGTAATAGGCTATGGCAAAAAAATAAGCGATAAAGCTTGCGACTAATAGCATAACATCATTATAGCCAAATTATAAGAGATAAAGCAACTAGCTAAAGTATGAATGATAAATTATGGTTAAAGAATGAGCGATAAAAGCTAACGACCAATAAAAAAAATCCTTACAACTAAAATATGAGTGGTAAAGCTTGAGGCTAAAGTAAGAGTGCTGAACTATGGTCAAAAAATGGACGATAAAGCTTGCGATCAATAATATAATATAATTATAGCTAAAATATAAGCGATAAAGTTAGCGGCTAAATATGATTTTTTTTTCAAATGTGAAATTCCAATTCATAAAACACTAAAGAGTCAAAGTCATAGAAATATCATACATAAGTGAGAACCAGGTTGCTTTGGACACTATTGCTCTTAAGTAGTAATTCTCTTGCTTACGTCTTCTTATGGAATATTCTACGCAAACCTCTATATTCAAAAAGCGATAGTGGAATTGTCCATCTTTTCTGGTAAGACAAAGGTTTTTTTTTTAATTAAGTTTTTACCTAATGCAATCACTCCTTCCTAGTGGAATCACCAAAATGGAAAGGGGGTTCTTGTAATAGGGAAAGGAAGGGTTGCAAACAAGTAAAAGGATATGCTGAAGGCGATAAAGAGGAAGGTCAGAGCAATCTTGAAGTACTAACCGTCGTGGCAAGTGAAAGAGAATTAAGGAGTAGAAGAGAATTAAAGAGAGAAGCTCTAGAGAAGAAGTGTTAGCTCTAGGGGGAAAAACCCCTCTAAATGAATTGTGAGACTCTATATATAGTGCCAAAAGTGACAATTACTGAAAAATAGGTTTTAATGCGCATAATGAATGACATTATTATGAAGAGCTTTAATGTGAGTAATCATTATTATAACACATTATATTGATATTAAGGTGGTGATTTTATGACATATAATGTGAGTGACCATTGAAGTAATTGGATGTAATAAAACTTGTTCTCGAGTAAAAGGTAATAGAGAAGAGGTATACGTGAAAGATACAAGAGAAGAAACTGCATGTGAATAAGTATAAGAGAAGAGTTGTACGTGAATAGGTACAAAAAAAGAAGATGTATATGAATAAATATACGAGAACAAGTAAATATGTGAAACACTTGTACTTCAGAAAAATGTTAAAAGGAAAACCTCTTAACTCTCCAGAATATTCCAAGATGAAAATAATCCGTGAATCCTGTCACTTATTCTGAATTGTTTTCACTACTATCCGTGTGAAGTAATGATTCACTTACTCTAATTGTTCTGAGTGAAATAGTGCTTCACTTATTTCATTATTTTGTACTTTACTTGTTTTAGTTGTTTTACGTGTAATAGTGTTTCACTTGTAATGGTTGTTTTCATATTTTTTGTATAATATTATATTATAAAATAATTCTTAAAAGAATAAGTATTAATCAAAATCAAATATCTACATGTAGCAAACAAACAAAAATCAACAATGAGGTCAAAATTAAAAAAAAAAAAACTTGTACAGTTGAACTAGTATTACATAACACACGTAGGAGCTTTTCGGACTAAACCAAAGTCCAAAACTGCAGAAGTTAGTTATCCAGGTTTTTTAATATTTGGGTTAAAAACAGATATTATCCATTGACAAAATGTTAAATGATCAAAGCTACTCTCTCCTTGAAAGCACTAGAATGCGCAGATTGAGAACAAAGCGACCTCAGAAAGCTACCTTTCTCATCCACGTGTGACACTCCCTGTCCAATGTCCACTCCTCGCCACTTCCTCCGTCCACCTGTCACTCCTTTTCCTACCTCTCAAATTAATTTAGCCCTGAAACACGCTCTCCTCTACATAAAGCCTCACCTGAAATTCCTCCGTTGTCGTAAATTAAGCTCT